CTGGCTCCCGAAAGTGGGCTATTCCAATAGACACGTGTTGCGTTGAAACAACACTGAGCCTCGGTCCTCACTCGATATATACAAGCTCACGATACCCGCCTGATCAAGCGCCTGATCGTATATAGGGCCTTGCGCCTGATATCTCTTTGTATTCCTTACTGCACGCAGTCGGAGCCTTGGTTGGGGCCGTGTTTCCACATTAGATAAAACTGAAAGAGCTAGTGAGGCATATGAGGCGCAGTCATGTACAGCTGCACGCATGCCTACATATGTAGATGACGCAGACAACTTTACGGCACTTATAAGCGCACTTGTTTCTGAACTACCGAAGGGTGAAGTCAACAAGCACATTTTTTGTTATTGTTTTTTTTTAGAATTAGCATGTTTTTGCTTATGTATGGAACCCAACAAAGCCATCGAGCTATTCTTTGCTTCATCGAAATCAAACTTCAAAACACCTACCAGGCGGTGAGACGGCAGACGAGAGATGTGCAGCGTATGTTTCAGACACGCACATAAATTTTAAATGGAACTGGGATTCGATCCCACCGTTCCCACATATCATCATCTCTGATCCAATGAAATGACACCATAGATCCCAGCCTGCAGTCTGCATTCAGATCCTGACTAAGAGTTCCAACACTCGGATCTCAGCACATGTGTGCTGGGTTTGGTATCGATCATCCCTCCCGTCCTCCACCGCACAGTGACACAAAGGCAGCCCTTTGTTTGTCAAAATCGATGACCGTTTTTCGAGCTCGTCAGGGCGAGAGCGTTTTTCTCACCGGGTGGACATTGTTTGGTTGGGTCCTTTAGTTATTGATAAATGATTATCACTAGTTGTCTTATGTCCTTTAGCCCTCGCCGGACCTATTGGTTTTCTACATACGCGCCGGCCGAGGGGGGGGGGGCGGGTACGACCCCCCCCCCCTCGCCGTTTCGCCCCTGGTGGAGCTAGCGCGTCGCGGAAAAAAACGAGCGTGTGCGCCGTTACGAGACGCAGAGATTGGTACCCGATTTTAAGGTCCTAGGTCAACCGGTGACCTCTGAGGTCAGGTCAAGTGCCCCAAGGTACGGTTCCGTTTTTGGTGAATAACTTCGCAAAAAAACGGCCGCAGAGCGCCGATTTTGGCAGCATCGTGTTCGTCTCGCTCAGGCGCGTCGAATGGTATACTTTTTGTCTGGGTCAGGTCAACTTGGGGTGTTGACCTCAGGTCAAGGTCAGGTCAGCACCCCCAGGTCACGAGGTTGGTCGAAAGAGGTCATGTCGCATATCATTCGATTCGGCAGGTCTTCCTGAGTCCATTGGTGGCTTTCCCGACTCGCTAGCTCAATTTGATCAAGAGTTATTGACGAAAAACTAATATGACCTTGATGACGTCATAAATGACGTCACGAAAGGTCAACATTGCAAAAGTGACTCATCTAACCTTGCAAGGAGTGCATAAAATCACGATTCTGTGTGCTTGAGATAGTTGGAGATCGTTCCCGGCGCCAGAATAGCAGTTTTCATTTTTCCCCATTGACTTATAATGGTGAGGTCACGAAAATGACCTGACCTCATATGACCTTTAGGAAAAATCCGAGATATACAAGTTGTGGGACTCATAATGGATACTAGATCCTGCAAGTTTCATTTCCCTGTGACATCTCCTCTGGCAGTGAGGGCGTTGCGAAGTTGCGACATCTGAAGACCGTGCAGAGGTTCACTTATGACGTCATAGGTCAGTGACCTGACCTGACCCAAAAATGCGGTTGGTGTCAAAAGATGCGGCTTGGATCAAAGGTCAGGTATGCCAAGTTTCAGCTCTCTATCGCCAGCGTGTTCGGAGCTATCGCGAAAAAACCCTATGGGGGGGGGGCGGCACCCGCCCCCCCCCCCCTCGACCGGCGAGGATTAGATCACAAATAGGTGGATTATGAAGACGGTCACAGTTAGACGGAGAATTGTGAAAATCGCAAAATGAACAGCCTAGCGATGTCAGATACGGAGAGGTGAAATGTTGCGAAATGCGGATTGCACTACAGTAGGTACCTACAGGGTGTCCCAAAAGTTCGTTCTCACATTATGTTTGCATGTGAAACAGAGTACATTGCGTTTTGATATATTTATGACCCCTCAATGTGCTCCCCATTTAATAGGCAAACACGTGAATACATGCTGCGGCATACCAACCGGCATGTTTGGCTGCATAGCAAGCTTAAAGTTAACCCAGACTGACTTGACATGCACCGTGAGCTCCTCGAGGCTGGAACAGCGCTACGCTTCGACGAGCCTCAATTTCAGCATAACCAACACATTTTTATGAAATTTTGATCCGATGAGGTGCCTGGCATGTGATCTTGCCACAAACGCCTGTCACAGTCTCCTTGCACCGCTTTTAATCTTTGCTTGACCTGTGCACTGATGCACTGTCTTGCCTGAAGATGGGCCTACGACCTCCCGGATGCCATTTTCTCCTCTATAAATGTGTTCATACTCGCGGTTCGAGTTCAGCTTGAGGGCTGAAACTCCTCCTAGATGTTCTTGGAAAAGCATTCTGCTTCCCCAAACTGTTTCTGGGTTGCCACTTGCAACTTGTTCAACTCCAGAACGCCTATAACCCAACAACACATTGACCATGGCCTTTTGCATAGGAACATAACGGGACGAAACGGAGGCCTCCTCCTTCGCCCTTATGGGGTTGTTTTCGGGTTTGGACGGGTGTTTCATCTCGAACGTGGACTAGTTAGTCCAGATGACGTGGTTGATGTCATCAGCCCTCTAGTTTTGTTTAGCCTCAGGCATAACGAAACTCATGTTTGGCCATTTTAAGACGTTTTTGACTGTTTTGTGCCCTCCGGTAAGCAAAGCTTAAGTCACCTCGAGTTATGTACCCCGAAAGAACACTCTTAGACAGCTGGTAATCCATCCTGAAAAGTCTACTTACCAACTTTCTAACCCTTTAACCTTTTTGATGGCCACTTTGGCGCCACACAGTTTTGGCCACTTGGCTCACTCCTGAGGGCTGACTGCAAAGAGGATAAACTTGCAGCGATTGACTCCCGACAAATCATCGGCGTCACTTGCTGACTGTGCGTCCAGTTAGCGATGGACATTGGCTACAGACTGGTAGGCCTCAATCACCCTCAATCGTCGCAAATGGTCACGTGCTGACTAAATACTGAGACGTACCCGTATCGGAGACCTCTATGTTGCGGCGTTAGCCGTCTCTGTATGAAGCGGGCTCTTTAGCAAAAACTATTTTGTCTACAGAAATTAGCTACTGTGGAGCATATTTCTACCAGCCATGGCAACCACGTAAGCTCAGTTACGAACCAATTTCAGCGTGCCTTTAAGCAAGAGAGCCTAAAAACGTAAAATTTAGGTGAGAACGAACTTATGGGACACCCTGTATACCCATGTATTCCGCACATTCCAACAATGACCCTGTTCTCCACTCACTGTCTAGTTTTTTATGAATACTGAATAGCCAAAGGGATATTCATTTATGTGAGCTTTGAAATGTCAATGGGGAAACAGTAGTACCTAAGGCGCTATCCGAGTGAGCACAAAACCCTTTTTGCTCCCGAAATTAAACCAACATCTAACATACGTGGGATACAAAGAATGGGAAAGCATAAGGGCAGTGGGCACCGTATTAGGCATATGCCAAAAGAAGAGAGAATGAATGCAACTTCATGCATCTCATCACATCCATTAGAATCAGAAAGCATCCAGCTCACTCACTCATTCACCATAGAGCCGCATTATCCCTACATTCCCTGAGGAACTCGTGAGTTTTATCAATCTCAAACTTTGTTCAAACTTCTATCCCGAACAGGTTACTAAACCACCCACTGACCTACCACTTGCCTACCACGCACTAGATTCCATCCCTGTGTGGCTGCTTGGCTAGCGGCATTTCCGGCGAAGTGATCCATTACCGCAGTAGATTCGTGTTCAGCCCGAGCTGTGAACAGTGTTGACAGCGGACGCTGATTGGCTGAATCCTGCTCATAAAATAGTTGACCAATCGGACGCCGGTGAAACTAAGAAACTTTAGCGAAAGGAGGATTACTGTTTCACAAACTTGATAGATCGGGATTGCAGGAGTTGTGTTCAGTGTTCTCAACTTCCGGCAAACGCAACACTTTGACCTGTGTTGGAAAAGCCAAACAAAGAAGTCGGTTGTAGGTTCGTAATATCCGCTGGGCCTGGAATCGAGGTTCAATGTGATAGATTGAGTCGACATATATTTTAGTGATAAATTAGAACGTTTATGAGAACGAAAACAACCCCGTCATTGACGTGAGAATCTTCTTATTAAATTTCTAACAAAAGATACCTATTTGGTTATAATTAGCCAAGTATGGTGGGACAGCAATAGCATTTGCCAGGTAGCCCGTCGTGAAAACCGCTTTCATCTAGAAACTCGATTTTATGTATTGTATTATGCATAAACAATCTACCTACCCATTAGCCAAACGAAGCTAATCAGCCTCAATAGCCTTTAGTAGTCGCTGCCCCGCGGCTATTCGTCAGCTGATTATGCGGTCAGCTGGTGGCGTAGCCAGCTGATACGGTCTGAGACGCATTGCGACATCCGACTTGTACACAACGAACTCTGAATAAACAGAATGACTTACGGGTCACTTTCCATTGTTGGCTATTTCCAACTCACATTATGTTCGTAGGCTCTGATTCCGCTCATCGTGGATAATAAGAATGAGCATCGGTCCTTTGTTAGTTAGTTTTTTAAGTCAATCGAGGTAAAGAATGCGCCTAACAAACAATGAAAGTAACTTGATTCAGGTCACGATTTGTTGGTTTATCGGCTCAATAAAACATTCACGATATTCCAAACGACATTACGAACTACAAGATAACTGGATCAACTCTGACGTCACTGATGCAACATCAATTACCGCCCACCACCAGTCCATGACGTCATCACCAGCCAGCTGAATCTCCCCTCTCCTCCCCCTCCCCCTGACCCTTCCTGATCGTCGACACTCACCTAAAGCAGCTGACAACTCTCCTTTTCTCTTCAACACAGCTACTGTCACTTCTTCTTCAACCAGTTCATCAGCTGCTAACAGACCGTAAACCTGTTCCCAGCCACCGCGAACACTCGTCAGAACAACCACGACACGCCGAAACACGGCCAACGACACAAGGAGACACTCTCCCGCGGCTGTCTCCCGTGTCTGCTACCGCCACAACCCTGTTTTACTCTCAGAGAGAGGGAGCAGAATCGCGAAACGTCGAAACCGACGTTTGCTCGTCGTCGAATACGACTGAGCGACGAAAGCAGCGGGCCTTTCTACAGCGGACAGCGGACAGCGGACAGCGGAGAGCGGCGGTTACAGCGGCACGGCCGGTGGGTCTCAGTTGTGTTTGGGCCTGGGACGCCATCGATTCCCCGGTGCTGGTCGATACCGACCACAGTGCGCCGACGCAGACCGAGCCCCAGTCGGTACCGACGGCGGCGGTGATATCGTCGGTGTCGACGGCGACGGTGGTGGGTTAGTCAGTAGAGCCGCGTCGGCCTCGACGGCAGCGGGACAGTTTGTCGAGCCACGTCAGCGCCGAGGGAGACGCTCTTCTGCTGAGGAAGAGGCGACATGTGACGGAGGCGGGGCGAGGGTATACAATATACTGTAACTGTAACATACATACCTACATGTAGTTTATGTAGGTACGGCAGCGGTTTATGTAGGCACGACGGTACGGCAGCGGTGGTATCGTCGGTGTCGACGGCGACGGTGGCGGGTCAGTCAGTCGGGACGGTGGCGACGCTTGGAGAGGCGGCGCCAGCGGCGGCAGGAGATGATAGACATGAGGGAGGAGACGAGGGTAGATAGTTTCACAGGCTACAGAAGCATGCAGAGATGTGAGGAAATGTAGGATGGAGACTTCGATGGAGATGTGGCTAATACGAGATGAGAAATGAGGTGGTAGATAAGATATGAGACAATGAAGCGAAGATCAGACATGGAGTGGATATGAAAGATAAATAACGGAGAAGTCAACATGTAGCAAAATTAATGTTGGCCTGCGTCAACAACAAAGAAAAAGATCAATAAGGCGGTCAACTCAACCGTGGATCAACACATACTTATAAGTTTGAGATGCTCATGGGGCTTAACTCCCCCGCTGGGACTGCTGGATTTCGGAGTCCTACTGGGAGGGGGAGTGTCAAACACGCCACTCTAACCCACCTCCTGGACCACGTAGCGACGCGTGGTAAGTGGCGTCCGAAAGAACCTCAAAGTCAAACATTTTAAAAAGAGGTTTCAGTCATTTTTCAGGTGAAGTCATTGGAGGCAATCGAAAAGTTTCCAGGTTTCGACATTTTTGAACAAATCATTGAAGAGGTATTAGTTATGAAGTCACCAATACAAAAATCTTACATGTACCTAAATTCGATACGTTTTGTCGCTCATCAACTGCTGAAAGTTTCTAACCAAGTAGCAATCAAGCATCCTGTGCAGTGACGACAAACATATACTTTTTCTAAAGATGAGGACGAGGTCACTTAGCATCATCTGGTGGCCGTTTTTGAAAAGCCTTTGACTAAAATTTTCACAGCCTGTGAAGAAAATAGACATACAGGCAGGTAGATAGGTAGGTTAGTGCTTATTAATATATAGACAAGTTTCCTGAAAACATACTCCTCAAAATTGGTCAAAATGGACACTCAGTGCTTACTTGAGCATACCTAAATCATTTTAACAAAAATAAAGCAATTGTAACGAGAACAAACAACCTATTTTATCATTCACCAGCGGAAAACTGCATGCTTCGACTCGAGATTTCACGAAATGTCTAGCGACTCGGTAGCAGATGGCAGCGCCGACACCGACGCCATCGTATACAGATGTCAGCACCCACGCCAAATGACGGCACAGTGCTCGCTCCTCGGTCTCCTACCCAGGGTATATAGAACAACTCCTACCATACCTACCATACCTACCCTGGCCCAGGTATGTCCTCTTCTAACAAACATACCTGACGACGGGACTGGCGGTGTTGCCGCAATTGCGTAAGGGTCTGTAGGTTATAGTGTTTTTATTGATTCACTTAAAGATGATGCAGCCGGCTGTGCGAGCTCAAATTACCCTTACCAGCACCAACGCCATGGATGAAGATTTTATCAATGCCATCACAAACCTCTCAGAAGAATAATAGGGTATCAAAACGCCCTCTAACATGCAAGCTCCTTGTGAAGATTACAATGGAAATACGCTGGCTGACCTGTAGTTCCGCACAACCACAATACAAAAACGACTACTCTTTTTATGGTGTATTTATCGATAGCGAATTAAAGTGATGCGTTCATACAGCATAATTAAGCGTGGAGCTACTTGTTCATAAAGCACGGTGTCATACAGGGATTTGATGAAAAACACCAAACATTCTCTACTGGCGAATTTCTTTCATATTGCATTGCGACACATCATTCGTTGATCAAGCACAACTCGGCTCGCAGTCCGCGTAAATACAGCACAATTTCCCCATGCGTAAACACTCGCTCATTGATCACACAGCGCAACAATACGATCATTTCGTTATTCGTGCATAGTCCGACAAAACCTCACATGAACACTCAAATCAGCATTTGCTTATATCGGTTCACTTCACATCATTTAGAAGCATCAATAAACTGGGCCTAGAGCATCGAAAGTCTGCGTCATATGGATGTTATCATTGACAGAAGCTAACAGCATTCGGATACCATTTCAATAAAAAATCCAATTCACCCGCAATCGAAATCACAACCACAACCCACGATTTTACATTTCCCTTGCGCAGATTGGTCAAAAGACACCGCTTTCACCTCTCATTGGCTGCTATTCTTCCCCCTCGCCTCTGATTGGCCGCCGCGCTTCCCCCTCGCCTCTGATCGGCCGCCGCCCTTCCCCTCGCCTCTGATTGGCGCTCACCGCCGGCGCGGCCGCCGCTGATTGGCCGGTAGCCGGGCGGCCTGACACGACCTGACCGCCCCGGAGGCCGGCCGTCGGTCGCTGGCTCGGCGCGGGTGGCAGGCGCACGGGGACCCCCTCCTGCGGCGGCGGCGCCGCGGGGGCCGGGAGGGGGTGGGGTCGGTGACAGGGGCGGTGGCAGGCGCGGAGGAAGAGGAGGGCAGAGAAGAACCGGCGGGAGATGTTGGTGCAGAGGATGACGAACAGGCGCCGTGGCGGAGCTTAGGTGAGGACGCTGGTCTGTGAAGAAAGAGAGAGAGAGAGAGAGAGTGACGGGCTTGGCGTCAAACGCGCATGGATAATAGGATGAGAAGTCAGCAAACAATAAACGAAACAATTGAAATAGAAAATTGGAAAGATGTGGCAAATTAGAATTAAGGTCAATCGTAGGATAAATGATAAATAGTATGACAGAAAATTAGTGCATCAGCCCGAAAAGCTAAAACGCTGCGATGTTATCTGACACAAATCACATGTGAAAAAGCCGGGCACAGGCAAAAGGTGAAATTGAGGAAAAAATGTCATTTTGGAACAAAGGAACGACAAATTGTATGGCTATTCGTGCCACGAATCATGCGTATATCAGCAAGATATCCACAGCAAAATGAATATGAGAATCATCAGAAAAAGAACGGCAAAATTAGGATAGTTTTACAACATCGCATCCAATGTAACCCGTCTCACACCAAGACATATACAGTATCACACCGCTTTGGAGTAAGGCCGCCAGTTACCAAAGCCGCCGGATCGCGGGCTGCATTCTATATTGGACGGATGTGATATAGATGAACACCTATTTTGATTCCCATCACCAGAGTCCTCGCGACACGGTATTGATTGTAGCCCGCACCAGCAATTCGTCCACTGACCAATCACTGTTTATTGCATCATTTCTAAGGCCGCATGGTTGATTAGGGGCCAGTGTAGCACTAGAGATAAGCCATCTACACAATCATAGTTTTCACTACAGAATGATTAAATGATAAACAACAAGAACAAGATAACAAATAAATGTTGACTGGCGTACAGATTTGAATCAGACGATAACATCATTGAACGTGTGCATAAACTATTGAGTTATCTTTAATGCTAGCTCCTCAGCGACTTAAACGCCCCAGTTATATGACAAGCTCAACTAACAAATAAAGGATAAATGCAATAACCACCATGTGCCATAAAAACACACTTTCTTAAACCAGCATAGTAAATTGCTAGTAAATTGCCATGCAATGGCCAGAAAAGCTGATAATCGGAGGTTTGAAATTGACATTGCGACCGCTGCGACCGATAAGTATCTACACGATCACGCAATGCCGTTGCCATGGAAACGGTGCGAAGACAAAGCATACCTAAAGCAATTAAAGCACGTAAGCATGAGTTGTTACTGGCATGGGTTAGTAATACTTAGGATAGGATTATTATGATGACCATTACACAATAAGCTTCAAAAATGTCAAAGTATCCATTATCATCTTTCAAAAATCAAATACAAAGCCCGCGTCCTAAGCAACAATATTGCAATTACCACATATCTCTACTGCAACTAACACTGCGAAATCAAACACACCTTTTCATCTTAAGTAAGCCCCTTCAAGCACAATAGCTGAGGACACACATTTGCAAAAAAGACGAAATAGAGTTGAGGAAGTTATCATCTAACAGCAAAATATACTAGTACAAGCCTCTACCAGTTAACACGCAACAGTGCTTAAGATGTCTGTTGTAAGGCACACAAAAGTAACGATAATTTTGATTAACCATAATTATTGAGTATAATTGAGCGCGCTATTTCTCATACCTAGCTACCCTACACGAGTAAATACATCATTACTTAACTATACTCTTATCACTATGTCTAGTTCTGCCTAAGTCCCCCTACCAAGCATAGCTTCTATTCCAAATAGACACAGCCCATCTAAGTGAAAAAGTACGTGTGCGAGCGCCGCGCAGCAGCTTATGCTAATGCAACCCCGAAAAGCTGTGTTACTACTGTGCGTGGATGGAATTACGGTACCCCAATCTGTGATAAAACCTAAGTTTGATTCCAACTATCACTTCTATCTTATGTTATATGCTCCAGCGGCGTCGATTTCGTTACGTCTCAGAGCCTAGTAAACACGTCGTCAGTCTGAATTCCTTTAGTAGCCTCTCCGTCCTCACTCTCCTCATCCCGCTCTCTCCTCCCCCCTCTGTGCTCTTCATCCCACCCTCTTTCTGACCCGTTACGTTCTCTCTCGTGGTCTTCTGAAAATCATCGCTCTCCTCTCCACTAATGATCCACATTCTACTCATTACTCTACATAGCTCCCCTAACACGTTTTCTATCCTCATTCCTTTTCATCATTTTCCCCCTGTAGTCTAAATTAATTACCTTCCCTCATTGAATCATAAGGTCTCCCTCATATGTATTGCTTCTCCTCTCCTTCCACTACTTCCCTATCCTTCCTGTCTCATCCTTCCACCCCCTACCTCTTTCTCCCCCTCTCTTCCCCCTCTGTCCCCTCTCTCTGTCCCCAACTACTTATCTCATTTCATCCTATCTCATCCTATCTCATCCTATCTCATTCTATCTCATCCTTACACTCCCTACCCGACTTTTTCCCTCTCCCTCTCATCACCCCACCTCTCCCCCACTGTCCCCTCTCTCCCCCCTCTCTCTGTCCCTACCTACTTCGCATCCCCCAGCATGGCGGCCACCTCCTCGGGAATGTTATGTAGACCGCACACTTTGTTCGCGGGAAGAGCCACGTCTATCTTCTTGGGGTAGGCGAGGTTCAGACCAGCCATGATCGCGTTAAATTCCTCTTTGTTACGCGTCAGACGCGGGTTGTAACGCTTCTCTTCACCGACGGTGCTGGCTGTTTGACCTGGGAAAGAGGGGGAGGGAAGGGTGTGAGTCGGTTAAATCTGACTCCTGACGGGCATGGTCTGCGGTTGGCGGGGGCAGCCAGTTGAAGTCAGTTGAGTGGGAGAGATCGTGTCCGGCTTTGAAGGGCACGTTAAACTTTGGAATCCAATTTCTCCTGTTACCCGGAAATGCGCGATCGGAGGGAGGGGTCGCGCCATACGCAACAAGCTCTGCTAAGCGTGGGCTCCCGGCTCTGTCAATCTGTCCAGTGAAAACATTAGAATTAAATTTATATATAAAAGAATGAATGTCGTTTCACATGGAGAAGTCGGGGATGTCAGATACTGATTAAAGTGAGTGTCTCTTATCACAATTCTTTACACCAATGCATCTCACCGTCCAAGTTATATCGCGTCATGCAAGAAACAAAAATTTGTAATACCTATAAATCTGTTATAGGCAATGCCCCATTTATGTGATCGATGTTTAATAGCTACCTTATGTTTAGCGACGTAGAACGTACAATTTTCACAACAGTGACTAAGAGCATAGAGCCGAAATACACAATGATTCACACGATTTGTACGGAAGCATCACTCTCCACACGCAGTTTTTGTTTGGTACTTCTTTAGCCCGAATTCAACACAAAAACACTAGAATTAGGGCACGTGCATAAAAAGAAAACCATTTGTATAAACTAAATTGGTTTATGCACAATTATTCGAGCAACCTTTAACAGACAATTCGTGATCACCAGCTGTAGTGGGTCTCTGCTGTGTCAGGGTCATATGGGGACTAGCATCTGAATAGTCTGAACTTGCCACATTCTGTTTTTAAGCCTGAAACAGACTTTTTCCGCAGTCAGGAAATCGCATGCGAGAGCCTACTCAAATACATGGAAGCACGCTCGCATCAATCGCACGCACCTCCCGCAAGTGATTGATGCGAGAAGAATTACAATGTATTTGAATAGGCTCTCGCATGCGATTTCCTGAACGCGGAAAGTGTCTGTTTCAGCCTTTAGTCTTCAAAATTCACTGTAAATCCTCATAGGCGGTGTACTATTTTCTTACCTTTATAATCGTGAGCCGGATAGACGGTGTAGTCTTCTGGCAGTGAGAAGATCCGGCCGTGAACCGAGTCATACAGGGTATCACTGGAGCCGCCCTGTGGAGCCACAGTCAGAGTCATACACGGTGTCACTGGATGGAGTCATAGTTAGTCATACAGGTTGTTGCTGGAGCCGCCCTGTGAAGTCAGAGTCAGAGTCATACACGGTGTCACTGGATGGAGTCATAGTCAGTCATACAGGTTGCTGCTGGAGCCGCCCTGTGAAGTCAGAGTCAGAGTCATACATGGTGTCACTGGATGGAGTCATACCCAGTCATACAGGGTGTCACCGGAGCCGCCCTGTGGAGTCATAGTCAGAGTCATACAGGGTATCACTGGATGGAGTAGCCGGTCATACAGGGTGTTGCTGGAGCCGCCCTGCGGAGTCAGAGTCAGAGCCATACAGGGTGTCACTGGATGGAGCCATAGTCACCCATACAGGGTGTCACTGGATGGTAGAGATGTCAATCGGATACCAACTTTTTGGCATACCGATACCAAACCGATACCAACTTGGTATTTGGTATTTCAAGGCGATTGCATTTGGTATTTTGTTGGTAATATGAATCCTCACTAATGTAAAATAGGCTGAGAATTTGGTAAAAAGTTGGTATTTTCCTCATATTCCCAAGTCGGTTTGGTTTCGGTATTTTTCAATGGATATTGTTGGTATTTGGTTTGGTATCGGTATCACGATTTTCCGTAATTGACATCACTACTGGATGGAGTCATAGCCAGTCATACAGGGTGTTGCTGGAGCCGCCCTGTGGAGTCTGTCATAGTCAATCATACAGAGTGTCACAAGAGTCGCTCTGTGGAGTCTGATTAAGAGTCAATCATAAAGTCAGAGTGTCAGAGTCATACAGGGTGTGAACTTAGAGCCAGACCCATGATACACGGTGTCACGGAAGCCATCCTGCATGCAAAAGAGTTCGTCATCCTGTGGTTCTCCATGGTGTCGACCTTATGATGATTTGAGTTTGGGACCATCGGGAGATATGGAGTCGGCCGCTTTGGTTTTAGGTCACCAGGACCCAACGAACCCTTGCCACTGAACACAAATCATCTTAATCGGTTAAGAAGCTCCAGCGATGCATCTAACGACGATCACCTTCTAACACTGTAGCTAGCTGTACAATACCAGTTGTATCACTCCTACCATAGCCATCCATCGCTAATAAAGGTTCACTAATAACGAATTCAAACTGTTCAGAGTAGTTGCCATCATCCCAGGCGGAGTCTGTCGCCAGTTCAGCTCACTGGCCTTACCTGGAAGTCAGTCCTGCCACAGCCGCGGATCAGCAGAGCGTCTCCGGTGAAACACATTCTCTGGGAGTGTAGCACGTATGTGACACAGCCTGTGAACAGGGGGGGGGGGGATTAGAACACAGGGCCAGTGGGTAGGGGAGGGACAGGAGGGCGAGCGGTTAGTAGTTTGGAGCTCAATCTGAGAACGACGACAGAGGAAGGGAGGGAGGGAGGAGGGAGGAGAGGGAGAGGGAGAGGGAGAGGGAGAGGGAGAGGGAGAGGGAGAGGGAGAGGGAGAGGGAGAGAGAGAGAGAGAGAGAGAGAGAGAGAGAGAGAGAGAGAGAGAGAGAGAGAGAGAGAGAGAGAGAGAGAGGGAGGAGAGAGATCACAGCCGAAAACGGGAGAAATGGAGATTCCGTGACAACAATTAAAACCCTATTAAGAATCTGTCAGCTAACCCTCGAAGCAGCCATCCGCTCTTAAATATTAACACCTCAACTAGACGCTCCAACCAAATTACAACCAGCAATGTTACAACAAAAACCCTCACCCCGGCGGGATTCGAACCCACGTACCTTCCGTATGTCCGGGCGTAGCTCGCACCTCCAGTTCGAGCGCTCCAAACTTGACCTTGTCACCGTCAGCCAGCTTAACGTCGGCCTCCGCCCCCGACGTGGCCGATATGACCGACTTACAGCCGGGGACGAGACGCTTCAGACGGCCAGTGCCAGTTATGTGGTCGGCGTGCATGTGGGTATTGACTGTTGAAGAAGGGGGGGGGGGAGAGGAAGGGTTAGCGATCAGAATTAATTAAGGCAGCAGGGCACAATGATATTCATCGCTTTTTTACCGTCGATGTTTTATATTGTGCACACAACTGTTATCCCTTGAATTCAGTATTTTGACTTAAGTACGGAAGCACGGATGTTTGGCTGCCTCACAACACACGCTTGAATAATTTTTCATACAAATGTTGGATGCCATACAAAGTTCTAACTGAAGCATTTAGCGTCTAAGTGACCCATTCTTGAACTCAACGAGCACATTTCAGTGACCTATCCAATCCAGTACATTACCAGTGCAAACAGACATAGTAAAGCCAGTAATAACCATAGTAATAACCATAGTAAAGCCAGTAATAGCCAGTTATGCACATTTCGGTGTAAGACTCACTCATCCTTATACCCTTATGATCGCATTTTGGTGCTAACGCAGCCAATTCTAGCTCCCTCACATTTTGGTGATGCCCGACCCAATCTGGTGCCAAACTGAGTCATTCCGGTGCCACAGTTCTCCCTCTACTTACTGACATAGACGAGTTTCAGACCGAGATCTTTGACAAGAGTGGCATCTCGATCGGAGAGTTCGATTACTGGATCGATGAGAACGGCCTCCTTCGAGCACGGGTCGGCCAGAAGGTAGGTGTAGGTGCAGCTCTCACGGTCAAACAACTGCAAATACACCGAGGAGGGAGTTACAGCACGAGTCAGCCAGGAGGTACACAAGGTCATGTAAATGTCACGGTGAAACAGCTGGGGACGGACACAGTTAAGGAGCTGGGGACGAACATCACGGATTAGTTGGAATATCTGTAGGAAGAACGTTGGAACGGTTTTATATGAAAGGGTCGCCAGGAGGTATAGCCCTCTGCAAACTGCGTGGTAGGTATTCTTTTTTTTGACAAAACCGAGGATAACGCGGATACTATGCTATCGATCACTCAGAAATCGTAACAGCAAGACGCGCGAGACTCCGCACCTTAGATTGGCATGACCATCGTATTCATTTTCCATGCAGTTTGGCAACAAAACCCAAAAGTTTATATTTGCCCCCAAAACAAACTTTTGCATTTTGTCGCCACACAACGCATATACTTTGTTTACTGATAGACCCAATCGAAGGAGTGGAGTATGGCGCCTCTATTTGCAGTGGATTCCGACCGACTGGCAACATAGTCTTTGAGTTATTACCGGTTTTGTCGAAAAAAGAATACCTACCACGCAGTCTGTTGAGGGCTGTACACGGTACACGGGTACATTCTCCCTGTGCCCTACCCTCAAAGGGTACACTCGGGGACAGATTGATGTTCCGCCACTCCCCATCCTCCGGGCTCCACGGCTCAGCACTGCACTGGCAGCGGCCGCCCGGTACAAGGTCACGGGAGAGCCACTCGGCATGCCTGGACAGGACAAATGGGGGATAGGAAGACATGGGTGGAAGCCGGGACCGGAGTTATTTGGAAAAGGCGGGAAATTAAAGAAGAGTTAGCTTGGTGGGAATTAATGGGAAAAGGCGGGAGATTGTGGGGGCACTAGTTGGGTGCGAGTTGTCGGATATGAGCGGAGGCCGGTAGTATATAATACTGAACGAGGCCGGTGTAAATAAATTTTCAAGACCGAGGTCCTTACTGGATTTTTGAACGAGGCCGAAGGCCGAGTTCAAAAATCAGTAAGGACTGAGGTCTTGAAAATTTATCACCGGCCGAGTTTGGTATGTATTTTACTGTATGCCAACGATAAATTTATTTTCTGGACCGAAGCTCTTAGCCGACTTAGGAACGAGACCATCCCAAAATGTTGGCTTTAGTGCATTCTGGTAATGCATTTTTGACCGTGGTCAATTTGCTTACACCAGTTATTACCACACCCCTCTGGCTAATGTATTTGAATAGGCCAGGCATACAGTAATAGTCAAATGACTGATGGGACAAAGCTGGACCCATAGCAAGAAGAAGAGAACAGTGTCACTGGAGGGCGGGTCAGAGCGGACCGGCTTCACTCCTGGTTAATGATTTGACTTTTGGGCGCCTGGACAAGCGGAGGCCATCGGCGGAATCCACTTGCACGGGAAGGTACGAGACAGAGTGAATCAGCCTGAACATTGCTTATAGACATGCACTACCCTGTGGTAAAAAAAATCGTACCTTTACTCCCTTGTATTGTGTATGCCTGATGCATTCTATATAGTTATTTCCCTGACTTCGTCTGTTAGTGATGAATTTCTCTGTTGGTGATCATGGTCAATAAACAATAGACAATAAACCAGTGGTCGGCAGGTCCTCCGGGGTCATGCCCCCTTTTTTTGGCGCCAGGCAGCGCCATTACCCCACCTGCCAGACCCCATTGGTGATATTACCATGGTTACTAAAATTCCATACTTTTCCGCGACTCTTTCGGTACCATATCTGCGAGAAACCACATGCTCCCCCCCCCCCTGCGGTTTCTCGCAAATATCTAAAAAAAGTTGAGCGCCACCATTTTGTCGCATTTTGTCATGCACTTTGTCTGCACATGTTGTGAAAATTTCAGACCAAAGTCGCTCAAAGTCAGGTCACCAGATCACGTCAAGTGACCTCACCTCAGTAAAGACTGTAACGCCTGTTGTAGCAACAGCGGTGCGTCTGATGAGCAATTCGAAAGCTGTCGGACTGGATGGAGTCCCCATCCTGGCCATTCGTCGTTGTTTTGCTGTGATCGGTCCGCTGCTCCTTCATATCATTAACACTTCAATATCAAGCGGCATATTTCCAGAAAAGTGGAAAATAGCGTGTGTAGTTCCTTTACATAAGAATGGTGATCACAGTCGCGCTAGCAACTATCGTCCAATTTCACTTCTGCCAGTCATGTCGAAAATCGCTGAGCGTGTCGTGTGCACCCAATTAACCCACTATCTCAAAGAAAATGACCTACTAGGTAACAGCCAGTACGCTTACCGCAAGGGCCATTCAACGGAAGACGCCATCCTCGAGACCATTGCCTGGACTACTGATCAAATCGATAGGGGCCACATTGCTTCAATAACAGCAATAGACCTGAGCAAAGCGTTCGACAGCGTCGATCATGAAATTCTTTTGATGAAACTAGCGTGGCACGGCGTCCCATCACACTGGTTCAAAAGTTATCTAAGCGGTCGTGGTCAAATGGTTCGAGGTGGTTCTGAGGTTCTTCCCGTGAAATTCGGTGTCCCACAAGGATCAATCCTGGGACCTGTTCTCTTCAGTCTAGTCACAGCTGACCTACCAAATTGTATACCTCATGGCCGCGTTATATGCTATGCAGATGACACTCAGCTTTTGGACAGCTCGCCGACAGACAGCGAAAGTCTCATCCAGTTCAAAAGGCGTTTGGAATCTTCAATGGCCTCAGTGCAGACATGGTTCACTACCAACTCATTTAAAATGAACGTAGCCAAAACTGATTTCATTCTGATCGGCACATCATCAGCTTTGCAGAGAGTCTCTGATTTCAAACTTGACTTCTGTGAAAGTTCGCTTGAACCTTCAGACAACATTAAAGTATTGGGAGTGAAAATAGACCAAACGTTATCCTGGCAAAAACACGTCACAGAAGTTTTACGACGCTGCTACTCTATTCTATCGTCCTTAAACAGGTTCCGGCGTCACTTTTCTGCTGAGGCTCTTATTCTCATTATCCAGGCACACGTCTTCTCCCAGATATTGTACTGCTTGCCAGTTTGGGGTGGGGCCTGCAAAAACCAAATATCTCGCGTTCAGAAAGTAATAAACTTCGCAGCCCGTGTAGTAACCGGAACACGCCGCCATGAGCACATCACACCTACCCTAAGTGCGCTTCAGTGGCCAACAATTGAAGAGCTCATCAAGGAGCGTGATTGTTTAAAAGTATTTCGCGCTTTGAATAACTGCGACGCCCCCAAAGCTCTAAAAAGGATGTTCCACCAAAGATCAGACATAACCACTCGAGTGACCCGCCTGGCATGTACCAATCGGCTCCACCTTCCAAAGGTGCGTCTGTCTATTACACAACGATCTTTCCCGTACCGAGCTGCAACTGAATGGAATCGACTTCCAATAGAAACTACACAAACAGGGTCAGAAAAAGAATTCAGGAAAAAACTTAGGTGCAAAAACGCGTGAACCATACCAGCTCACTTGCTCAGGGATAGTATCACGGATCGCGTATACTGTGTAATGTGTAGTGTGTACTCTGCGCCTTGCTGTGCGCCATGTAGTGTATGTTACCGTACGTTGGCACTGCCGTGTACATCTGTGTGGAAATTTGTGTTTACATTACTGCCGTGTTAAAATGTCCTGAAAAACTGTGGGAACACGGACGGACATTTAATGTTAATACAATACAATACAATACAATACACAGAGTAACAGATCTCTTTCAAACTTTCAGGAATTGACAAAGGCAACAAAACATGTACAAAATTTGTATCTCGGATATTTGATGTAGGTGACCAAAGGTCACCTCACTTTCACGCCCTCTCTCGTTATCAATGGGAGAGGTCGCAAAGTCAATGGTAGAAATTGAAAGACGCCTCTTTTGGATGAGTGTCATTCCTAGCACTGTGAAGCACTGAATCACAAGTAAACATGACCACTGAGCCGGAAAACTGCACCCGTAACCCCGCTGTACCTATGTCCCTGAGGTCATTCCAGGTCGTGAACGGTATCTAATAGTTTTTCGCTAATAACTTTTGATAAAGGCATGCCAGAGCGTCGAGCGATGAAAATACCTTAGATGTGTTTAGCTCGACGACACGGATCACCTGATGTGCAACAAGACCTTCGATGCTTCTCGACGGGGGGAGCACGATGCTGATAAAAGTGAGCTCTTGCAAGTTCTGAGTGAAACGCTACTGAAGAAAAACTATCAGCAAACAACGTACATTTTATCAGCAAACAACGTACATTTTAGCCATTTTTGTCTCCGCAGGCTAAATCGTTATTCTTAGGTTAAATCTGAGGGCGTCATCAGAAAAAAAAACGTTAAGAGAGCTATCGAATGCGTTTTTCCGCAGCTCTGTAGCTCTATCCTTGCCTGAGCTATAGGCCAGTTTGTCGAAAATTGTCAAAGGTTGACCTGGAAATTGGCGAAATTTTACGTTCGATGACCTCTGGTGAGCTGACCTTTGACTTGACCTAAAAAGTGGCCATAGTTTTCCTTCATCATGTCTTACTCTCTTTCGAACGCCGACTACGGCGTTTCGCTAGTGACCCAGGAGACAAGTTAGAAGGGGGAGGGGGTTCAACTTCCACCTTCAGCAGGGCGTGGATACCCAGGAGCCCCATCAGGGCGCGGGTTAACCCCCATACGAATAGGGGTAGCGTGTATTTTTCGGGAATAGATCACGTTAAAAGGGTCGGATCATAAAAACTGTACCCTCGAGCCGATCATTTTTATCTGTCCTGAAAATGGCATGACCTTTACCCGAATAACCGTTGATTTGTGAGATCTTTCTTGAGATCATGGCAGTCCACAAAATCTCACTTCAAGAAGTTACAGCAAGAGCCGATTTACTCGGGACTTGTCATTGACCTCTGGAAGGTCACCAAATGACCAAGGACCTTTAAATTGGGTAGCAGCGGCTGCCTATCTGCACGGGCAGCTCGCTCAATTTTTCTGCAAAGCTCCAGCTCAGAGGCCGAGATGCTCGGGTCAGGGTGCAATGAACAACTCCTCTCCCTTGCGTTAGTGACTGTGAAAACGCCAACAGGCGAGCGCCGGCTAATACATGACAGTTACTTTTGCGCGACTGTACGGAATGGTGAGCAGCTATGTACATGAAAATTGACATGCGCCAGCTGATCAGTTCATGCTTTGTGCGTTTGCCCTCGACTAATTTTTGAATCCTGGGGCACAACAGTTGCGATGTCTGTCCCATCAAGGGAGCCATTAATTCTAAAAAAGATGAGGCTTTCTCAGAGGCCCTCATTACCCCCCGCCGAAGGGCGCCATTACCCCCAAAGGTGACATGCCCCACCATTTGCCGACCCCTGCAATAAACAAATCAAAATACATAGCGGATGCATTCATTTCCTAATACGAGCACCCCACCCACGAGCGAACAATAAAACAATCGATTTAAAACCGGCTTGCCGATACTCCGACTGTCAGTTCAAGGACCCGACAATGCCATGTCGATATGGATTATAGCTGAGGACGCCCCATAGCTCAGGACTACCGTATCTAGATAATGCTTGTAGTGCCTATCTGCACCGCTGTCCGCGATACCAGAGCGGGAGAGCTGAATAGAGCGTGTAGTTGTGCTGCCACATGAACACAAAATGTTAGCGTGTGACTTCAAAGTTTCACTGAGCTTACGATTAGTTAGCGAAATAAAAACAAACAGGTTAAAAAACAACAACATTTTAAGTTTTGACACTAATGGATCGAAAGAAAGACGGACTCATGGACGAAGAAACATATCTCAGTCGCATTTAGAACGATTGACTCCTCACAAACATACACGGGTAATCTGCGTATACAGCCCCCCCCCCCCCCCGAGGCACTGTTTATTCAATCTCACATCCCTATTTCAACCTGACGAAACTACACATACCTGACGGAAGAAAAACTGCTGCGTCATGATGCACGATGTATCCGGTAGTATGTCGATCTTCCCTGAATCGATTTACAGTCGCGGCACACGCAACGGTGAATATCTTCAACTGAGGAGGCGGCTTATGCAACTGGCGCTTGCAACGAATCCTGCACGACGAATGTTCGGCGGCCGAGCGAGGGCTGCAACGAAGAGAAGGCACGTGCTATGTGGGTAAAGGTCGGGATACGAAATACCAACCGAGTGTAAATCGATCAGACATGTTATCTGAGGACCTAGCAATGCGCGGTTCCATAGTGAAGTAGTCACGAGGCAGTACCTACCTACCTACAAGATTACTTTACTACTCACCTACCTATATACAGGGTGATTTTTTTTAACTGTTAAAAAGTAAACGTCAATGGTGGTCCCTAAATCGAAAAATCGTGTGCAAAAAAAGTAATGCCCGTGATAGATAAATGTGGGACATTTTGTATGGTGTCATGATTTGTCCCTTTTAACCGAAGGCCTCGGCCCCAATGGAGCCTGAAAATGTCCCACCAATCGGGCACGCATGGTCCACCGCCGTTCAGTAAGGAACGACACAGAACGATGATTTTGAAGCATTGAGGCAGTTCGAAGCATACGATCATTAAAGGGACCCTCCCACCTTCAAAAAAGTTAATGAATTGGCACGAAAGTGATGTCGCTCGGTTCAGAAAGAGCGAAAACGAATATCTACCAAATTTCATCGAAAAATATTCACCGGTTTTCAAGATATTAGACTTTTACTTTTGTTTACTTTTTGGGATCTCCGCTGTTCCTAGCGACTTTATTTGAAAGTGCGGCATTTGTTGCGCGCAAAGCAGCATATACCACCGCGTGCTAACAAACGTTTTAGTAAAAGATTTAAAAATCGTTAGATCTCCGATGACGTCACAAATTCTAAGGGGGCATACCAATGCACTAGCCCCTTAGAATCCGAAAACTGCAAGTTTGAAATTCCATATCTCCGAATTAAAGCATTTGTCGATGTTGTGAGTGCCCAAACCGGTATTTGCAGGCCATGGCCACCAATTTGGCTATCTCAACTCAAAACTAATGTTAAGGTGGGAGTGTCCCTTTAAGGAGATACCTCAGAAAGACATTAAATAATGCACGAACAAGCTTATAGTCATAAATAGCCTTCAAACGGTCCATCTGGCGAATGTGCAGCCTCTGAAGAATCATTCTTCAGGGAGAAACAAAAACAGCGAATCAGACACCACCAGGGCCGCCAGTACCAAAATCATCGACCTGCACTTTCTAGACTTCTAGTTTTTGGACCCAGGTATGGCAGATATAACAAGAAAACAGTGGAAATCTCTGGCAGAGCTAAACATGGGTGATAGGAACCAGGGATGCTGAGCCGTGGAAATTTCAAGCGGCTCCGGCTCCGGCTCCGGAGAAAAAAATCGACTCCGGCTCCGGCTCCGGTTCCGGGTGAAATGTCATGGCGGCTCCGGCTCCGGCTCCGGCTCCGAGTAAAATGATCCGGCTCCGGTGGCTCCGGCTCCGGCGGCTCCGGTTCCGGCTTCTACTCAGTACATCATCCCCTATGCGATCAATTAAATACGGGTGGAAGAAAAAAGGCGATGGGATTGGTACACGTTGCTTCTGCATTTGTATAACAAGGCTATTTTGAATACGCCGTAAATTTTACGCCTTGTACTGTCAAACCGAACTAGGTAAATAATTGTTTCCTCTTAAGAAAAGGAGCCGGAGTCGCCCCCTTTTTTTACGGCTCCGGCTCCGGCTCCGGCTCCGGGCTATATTGTTTCACGGCTCCGGCTCCGGCTCCGGGCAAATATGCCGGCTCCGGCGGCTCCGGCTCCGGCTCCGCATCCCTGATAGGAACCTTTTCAGTCTGCCTAAAGGGTCTAGGAGTCCACGGTGCTGTTCAACACGTGCTCAGGCGGGCTGATTCGTGTCGGTGAGAGCTTCGGTGAGAGCTCGGTGTCGGTGAGAGCTGAGTAGCTTCAAGCACAAGTAAAATACACGATGGACGTTCCTTCACATCGTGTCTGCATGAAATCAAAATGTCCCAGAATGCTCGTCATGCTGGTATATTATTTTGCAATATATATTTGCATTTTAACGCCACTAAACCTCATTACTTTTTAACAAGTAAAAAAATCACCCTGTAGACGCCACAGCTAGGAGCTTGTGTATGGATGGGCGTCATAACTTTGTCAGACACCGGTGCCTCCGTTATACAACAGTTTTACTCCTACCGCTGGCGTAGGATTTTGCTTCAGCATGCATCTTATGATACAGGCCATGACCGTACTGCTGAAGCTCTAAACTGAGCGAAAAGGTTCGTCGGACCGGACATTTGAAGCCATGCAAAAATATTTTAACCCGCGCCCCACTGGGGTCTGCGTATAACACGCCCTACTGGGGGGGAGTGGGGGGGGGGCTCTCCATAGCCCCCCCCCCCTCCCAACTCCGAAACTACTAGGCCGATCGTCAAAATTCAAACGGCGTCTGACAGCCCCGGAACAACTGTCGAACGAAACCTAATTTCATTGACCTCGAGGTCACCGATGACGTCAAAGGTCAGGTCAAAGTACAAATTATTAGCATTTTGGCTTGTTCACATTTTGGGCTGTGACCGCCGTCTTACAAGTAAGATCAGGCTCATTTTTGGTTTACACACTTGTGAACAGATGTTCTAGATACCCTGAGGGTACTAAACTTGTACTTTGATATTCAGGTCAGGGTCCGGTCATCACAGGTCACGGAAATATTGTATCATGCGTCGGTCACGTGACACATGTTTTATGGTCCATTTAGACCATAGATTTCGAATTTGGTGTCGTCTGTGTCATTCGAGGTCATTTTGAGTCGAATTTAGCTTAGGTCAGGTCACTGTCAGGTCAAAAAGGTCAAATTTTGAAGTTAAAATTTTTCAACAAAAAAGGTGTCTATTGGATGCAGTTTGAGCTCAGGAACACGATGGTGCTATTTATATTGGTGTACGATGTCAAATACGTATTGAAAAAAAAAAATGATTTGAAAAAATTGATAATTGTGATTTTTTGCAATAATGCATATAACTTGGCCATTTTTGAAGATATTTAGCTAAAACTTGCTAGAGTTAGTCATAAGCCTGCGTTCTATCAGATATATTCCGTTTTTTTCGAAAAGTGAAAAAGTTTTTGAAAAAATATAAAAATATAAATTTTGAATTTTATTATATAAAATTTTCGAAATTTTGAAAATCCGATATAGCAGTTGGCTTTTGTCCGATTATAGTATATGCGCTCATTACTTCAGCGGTGACCTGTACCTCCGAAAGGCCCGTGGTGCCCCTGGCAGACCTCTGGTGCCCCCGGAAGGTCTGTCGTGCCCCTGGAAGACCTGTGGTGCTTTTGCAAGGCCTATGGTGCTCCTGACAGGCCTATGTTCCCCCTGACAAGCCTGTCGTGCCCCTTCTAGGGCTGTGATCCGCCTCCGCAGAGGCACCAAAGACCTAGCAAGAACAGACGGAAAGACGGACGGACGAACGGAGAGATGGACGGGCGGACGGACTGACGGACGGACGGACGGACGGACGGACGGACGGACGGACGGACGGACGGACGGACGGGCGGGCGGGCGGGCGAACGGACGGACGGACAGACGGAGAGAGAAGATGGACGGGCGGACGGACGGAAAAACAGATAGAGAGACAGATGGACGGACGAACGGAGAGATGGACGATGGATGGGCGGATGGAGAACACAGGTGACAGAGTGATAAGGAAGGTGGGTGATGATGAGATGAGAGAGAGGGAGGAGGATTGGGGAGGGCAAGAGAGAGAGAGAGAGAGAGAGAGAGAGAGAGAGAGAGAGAGAGAGAGAGAGAGAGAGAGAGAGAGAGAGAGAGAGAGAGAGAGAGAGAGAGAGAGAGAGAGAGAGAGAGAGAGAGAGAGAGAGAGAGAGAGAGAGAGAGAGAGAGAGAGAGAGAGAGAGAGAGAGAGAGAGAGAGAGAGAGAGAGAGAGAGAGAGAGAGAGAGAGAGAGAGAGAGAGAGAGAGAGAGAGAGAGAGAGAGAGAGAGAGAGAGAGAGAGAGAGAGAGAGAGAGAGAGAGAGAGAGAGAGAGAGAGAGAGAGAGAGAGAGAGAGAGAGAGAGAGAGAGAGAGAGAGAGAGAGAGAGAGAGAGAGAGAGAGAGAGAGAGAGAGAGAGAGAGAGAGAGAGAGAGAGAGAGAGAGAGAGAGAGAGAGAGAGAGAGAGAGAGAGAGAGAGAGAGAGAGAGAGAGAGAGAGAGAGGATTCACTTGAAAAAATCTGAATGTCGTTGACGATGATAGACACCCGGGACGAATCTAAATATCATGATTCATGATCAATATTTGGAATGGAACTTAATGTGAATCTGAATGTGAATATCATGTATCTAAACGCGCATAACATGAAATGGCACAACCCAGGGAAGAGGGGATATCCCGTTATGTTCAATGCCAGCAGTCAGCAGCAATTGAATTGAAAATAAAGCAATTTCGCTAAGAAGAGAAAGAATACCACTTAATAATCACTCACCTATGGCTTCTTAGAAATACTGGAATTTTATAACAAAATCTTCAAAACTACCCAGCCGCAACCACACCGATTAGAGCGCGGAGAAAACTGCCGCCCACACTCAGTGGCATTTGCTTGTTTGTTTGTTTGGCATTGAAATCAGCTGATTCTCTGTTATTCGATTCTCCCAGAAAGCAGTATATTTAATACCCGTGAAAAATTGTAAATAAATTGCATGCTTGCCCAGTATTCCAAGGCCTTACAAAATGTTCTCTGATGTCAAATAAACATTGACAACATTATCCTTAGTATCAAAACGTATTTCACGTCCTGAAAATTACCGGAAATCGCTTTCCGTGGCACAAGAAGAGAAGTCAGCTGTAGACAATGTTTGTCGCACAGTGTATATAAATACAGTGGCGGCAAATGCGTCTGGTCACGTGACCAAATCTGCACGTGCGGTTGTGGCGAGGGCACTTCCCGAAACTCTGGTGCCAACGGCCTCGCGGCGCCCATAGAGAATACATGGGACCTTTTCTTTTCAGACCTATCGTGTCTAAACCAAGCCATTTAGTGCAAGGATACGACTGGTTTGAGATTCAGTAGTCTTTTGGCTACAAGTTGGCATAAGAAACGTATTTTTATCGGCAAAATTCGCAAAGTACCAGGTGGTTTTCCGATACCCTGCACGCCTCCTTACCCCCGGCGGCCGACCGGAGGAGTCAGTAGCGCTCCACTCACGAATTTGGCGATAGCTCAAAACACCTTCCAGCTAGAGGGCTGCTATTTGGCACACCTTATCTTTACTTCCATACGCATCTTTGGAAACCAATTGCATTTGCGTCTCAGGTCAGGTCACTGACTTATGACGTCACACGTGAACCTCTGCAATAGTCCCAAAATACCGAAACTTCGCAATGCCCTCGGTGCCAGAGGAGCTGTCACAGCGAGATGATACAGGGTGGACCAAAAAGGATGGAAACATTTTAAATTCGTATTAAACGTGCAATATTACATGCAGGTGACTGAAAATGATACCAAACGAGAGTACATTTTGTGGAAATTCATAATGACATCATGCTCAGCTGCTTTCTCTCGTTTTCAGTCTCTCACAGCAAATGTTCAAGGAGACCACTTTTGCGAGACAGGCACAGATCGGCCCGCCTGGCGGCTGACGCGATAGCCCGACGACACATGTCCTCTGGTATGACTCGCACAGCCTTGATGATCGCTCTCTTTAGGCCACAGAAGCTTGCTGGACCTTCTTTGTAGACCTGGCCCTTGAGATGACGTTACAGGAAAAAAAATCCATAGGAGTCAAGTCAAGTGAGCAGACGGGCCAGTTCCGACTGGCACCGCGAGATATCAGCTGGTCACCAGAGTGGTTCTCGATCCACTTGAGCATTGTTTTGCTATGTGATGAGACGCACCGCCTTGCTGGAGCCACATGAGGTCCAAGATACTGCCATACGTCGCTTGATCTCACTTCAAGAACTTCTTTAGCGTCGCTTGGTAGGTCTGCCACGTCGCTCCCACCCTCGAACCGAAGTGGAACTGGCCTGTCTGCTCAACCGACCTGACCCTATAGATTTTTTCTTGTACGGTCATCTCAAGGGTCACCGGTCAGGTCTATAAAGAAGGTTCTGTAAGCTTTAGTGACCTGAAGAGAGCGATCACCAAGGCTGTGCGAGTCATACCAGAGGACATGTGTCGTCGGGCTATCGCGTCAGCCACCAGGCGGGCCGATCTGTGCCTGTCTCGCAAAGGCGGTCTCCTCGAACATCTACTGTGAGAGACTGAAAACGAGAGAAAGCAGCTGAGCATGATGTCATTATGAATTTCCACAAAATGTACTCTCGTTTCGTATCATTTTCAGTCACCTGCATGCAATATTGCATGTTTTATACAAGTTTAAAATGTTTCCATCCTTTTTGGTCCACCCTGTACTTACAGGACCTAGTATCCTCTAGGAGTCTCAAAACTTGTATATCTCAGATTTCTCCTAGAGGTCACATGAGGTCAGGCTGATCGCGCGACGTCACCATTACAAGTCAATGGGGAAAATATGGAAACTGTAATTTTGACGCCGAGAATGATCTAAACCTAGCTCAAGCACATGGAATCGCAATTTCATGCAATTCTTGCAATGTCCAATGCTTCACTTTTGCATCTTTCCTCGCGTGACGTCATTCATGACGTCACAAATGTCACAAGTTTTTTCGTCAATAACTCCTGATAAAATTGAGCTGGCAAGTCGGAAAAGTCGCCAATAGACTCGGGGAGACCTACCGAATCGAATGATATGCGATATAACCCCCTCCGACCAAGTTCGTGACCTGAGTGCCTCTGACTTGGCTTTGATCCGATGTGAACACCTTATGTTGACCCCACCCAAACAAAAGTGTACCATTTTGACGCACCGAAGCATGACAAACATGATGGTACTAAAATAGCGACTCTGCGCCGTTTTTTTTTTTTGACAAAGTTATTTTTCAAAACCCGAAATCGTATTTTGGCCCTCGGGGCACTTGACCTGACCCTCAGAGGGCATCAGTTGACCTGAGACTTTTAAACCGTGCATCAATCGCTGCGTCCCCGGTCCCGTAACGGCACACATGCTCGTTTTTTCCCGCGAGGCTAGCTCAATTGGCGAGAGAGTCGTACCCGCCCACTCTCGCGGCTGGGGCGTAGGTATGTAAAAAAAAAAAACTAAGAATTCTGGTGATGATTGATGCAAGATTCTTACAGATAATGGTAGATGAAGGAAGGGCATCAGTTATTAAAGATAGGTAAAAAACAAATTTGCAGCCCTCAGTAGCATTGATTTATGCATTAAGAGTTATAGAACCATAGGCGGCGGAACGGGGAGGGCACCGGGGCACCGTGCCCCCTATAATTTTGGCATTTTAACATTAGCCCTATGGGCGTTGCATGGAAAGAATCGGACCGAAAGTCGGCAGTGCCCCCCCCCCCCCTCTTAATTGAAGGTGTTCCGCCGCTACTGTATACAACAACTGTAAGCTGCAGGCTCAGCTTTTCAGTTTCTACCTATGCCTGCAAACACAATAAAATCAATGGAAGAGTAATAATAGATTAATTGCATTTTATTGATGCTATTCAAGTATCAATGGTAACTATGTCACCGATGATTCAATATTTTTTGCACGGTATCATTTACCACCACACGCCTAAATATTTAGTATCTAAAATAATGCAGTAAAATAAGCTGCGCCACGTCTGTCGACAAAATCTGGTGCCAACTCAAGGTCACACGGAAAATGTGGTCACGTGACCTATGTCCGGCAGCTGGTTTGTCGTTTCAAGTGAAAACAAAACACTTTTATTAAATTTGTACAGCAAGTTTTCTCGAAATGCATCGCCTAAGCAAAAATTTACATTTAAAATTCGATAAACAGTTACTAAGCATATTTTTTGATTGATTTCGGCATCCATTTTAACATTTCAGAAAAATCATATTTAATAGGTAAATTCTTAGGAAAAGTATCAGCTGAAAGTGTGATGAATGCGACGCAATTTATTGTCGACGGGATTGGACATGGTAGTCAATGGTAGTGTTGTTTATTGTTGTGTGGTGTTTGCCTGGTTAGGTCGTTGATAAAATGGGCTCTCTCTATCGTCTGGAGGTTTCGAAAGATGCTCTCCAGAGATGGCGCTAGTAAATTTGGCTGACATGACGTCATGCTTAAAAGTGATGGGTTTTGTGAGAGCAAATGTAATAATAGTTGAAAATTTTGTACTTTTGCTTAATTGAGAAAAAATTAATATACGATTGTTCAAAACAGCGTTTTCCTCATTCATCCTTCATTGTTTTAAGAGGAATATAGACAGTTAAATTCTTTTTTCTTGACCGCAATTCGCACACGCACTAAATTAAAAGCTGGAGTTTTGTGCGTTCGTAAATCGTGATTTGAGAAAATAAATTGACAATAATCTTTTGCACTTTTGCTTTACAATCAGTTTTCAATGCAGATAAATGCATAAATCATTCGAAAATAGGTATATCTTTGAAATATTATGATTTTCCACAAGCAAATTTTTCCAAAAACTTGAACTACTTACAACTGACGAACGCATCCAATAATCTGGATGTCTTAGGATGAGTTCGTCCTTTTTTCTCAAGGAAATACGATACAGTTTAAGCTACTTTACCGATTTATTAGGGTACTTTTGCTAATGAATTAATAAATAAATGACAACAATTAATCTCATTATCAACCATACTCGGAAGAATTTTCTTCGCATAAGCGCGAACACATCCGCGTTTTCATGAAAAGTAGCGCCTGCAGATGTCAGGACTGCTGCTTTATGTTTCGCAAGGTGGCGCAGCGCGCAGGGTACCGACTACCGAGGCTGAGGTCTCCAGACTCTCCACCACGATTTAGCTTGGAAATGGCCAATGGGGAAGGTCTCACCCCAAAAAAACGGACGCCCTTTTACACAGCTGCATAACGAGAATGAATTATTGGCATAGCTGACCATACGTCCCCTCCCCCTCTCCGCCCCAGCTCAATTGGAAATATCGCCTATTTTCCTTAGTCAGTTATATTCTGACTAATTTCTCACTCTTCCCAGTAAACCTTAAAATGCATGACGCAGATGTCCACTGCGTAAGTTGTGTGCTTGCGTAAGTGTGCCAACTATATAGTGTTGCCTACACTCTATAGTGCCTACTGCTTCCACCGTTGTTATAACTGGTGATTCTCAGGTCAAAAGTTACACAGTGGTCTCAGAGAACAATCGTTTCAACAAATTAACGATTCAAACCGTTGCATTCTACTTATATTCCGGTCAGTTCTGCTACTAAACGATTCCGGCAAAACACTCTTTAGGTTATGTATTAGCGAACCACCACACAAAATTCGCCCAATCAATGGTCAGTTATTACTGCTGGGCTGAACCGTCATACGCTATATAGCCTATTGCAGTCAATATTTTCAGAACGATACCGACTGACGAAATACAACGTATTCGCGGATTCGCACATACGTTGGCACCCAGGTGGCCTGTCAGCAGCCGCACAAATTGAGATGGTACACCGTAAAGCATGCCTTTCCACACAGGCACAAGCACAGGGACACAAATTCTCAAAATCCAAACTTATTCTAATACTGGTCAAATACTAATAGGCATACAGTTTTGAGGTTTTCTCATGTTCATTCTTCTTTCAACACACGCGGCAGACTGCAGCAGAACATCTCACAGAGCTGCGCTGGATGCAGTCATGAGCTGGGACACGGTTTGTGACCAATGACCGATCGGGGGTGCCAGCCTCCTCCCGGCACGCGATGCACTGGCCGCCGCGCAGTCGATGTCGGGGCACCGCCGGCATTCGCCGACAGGGTTCCATCCGATTCGGTATATTGGTGGCAGCCCGAACAGTGACCCACGCGAAGCTGG